ATCCACGCTAATCCTCCTCTTTTTGCTGAGGAAGACTGGCTCTGAGCTAACATCTATTGCCAATCCTCCTCCTTTTTTTTTTCCCCCAAAGCTCCAGTAGATAGTTGTATGTCATAGTTGCACATCCTTCTAGTTGCTGTATGTGGGACGCGGCCTCAGCATGGCCGGATAAGCGGTGCGTTGGTGTGCGCCCGGGATCCGAACCCAGGCCGCCAGTAGAGGAGCGCGCCCACTTAACTGCTAAGCCACGGGGCCAGCCCATGTGGAAAGATTTTTAATGATGTAATCAATTTAAAAAATAGATATAGATCTATTGAGTTTTTGTATTTCTTCTTGAGCCAGTTTTAGTAATTTGTGTCTTTCAAGAAATTTGACTGTTGTTGAATTTATTGGTATAAAATTATGATAATCTCTTACTAACCTTTTAAATATCTTTAGGATCTGTAGAGAGGGAGGTGAATAGTATTTATGTCTGGAAGTGGGCTTGCTGCTTTTGCTGTTAGCCCTTTAGTTGTGGGGGTAGGGGATTCAATCAGTCTACTCAGGAGTTGAGCTGAGTTTGAGTTTTGTTGTTGCTGTAGTTATCTTCAGTGCACCACCAGCTTGGGACTCTTCTCTTGTTACCTTGTGTTTAGGGTGGGGGCTGGGGTGCTACAGGGTTTTTTTTTTTTTTAATGTTCCTTTTCCACCTTCAGCTTTGGCCTTGCCTATGCACATGTGCCTCAGAGGGGCTCTCGCTTCACAGTCTCTCCTCCCTTAGCAGTAGACTCCTGTTACTTATTACTTGGTGCTTGCTAGCCTGGTGGGGGTGACAGGAGCGAGGAGTGGGGAGGTATCTTTTTCTGAACCAGCCTCAGTCTTGGGCAGGTCATGTCTTCTTGAGTCTCGTGAGCATCTGGTGGAAGTCCACGCAGAAGACCCCGTGAGTGGGTGCAAACTCTCCTTGTTTCTACGGCTCCTAGGGGGTCTGCTAGCCCCTCAAGCTAGCCCACACTTTGCCTTTAGCAATTTGTTAAAAATTTAGCTGGATTCCTTTTACGCATATGGCATGCTACAGTGCTTCCTCCTGGGCTCTGTCACAGGTGAGCCAATCTTCACATCTTGTCCCTTCTTGGAAGGGACTTTTTTTTTTAGATTGTAGAATACTCATTGTCATGAGACCTCTGGTCTCTGATGGGCTTAAGAATAGGGATGATTTTTTTAGTTTATCTGGCTTTTCCTTGCTATTGGGGGTTGGGTAGAGTGACACTCTCCAGCTTTCTACATTCTGGACAGAAACAGAAGTCCCAGCAATTTGATTATGGTGTGGGTAGGTGTTTGTTGTTCTTTCTCAGGGTTTGTTGAGTTCCTTGGATCTGTCAGTTTATAGTATTTATCAATTTAGGAAATATTTCACACATTTCTTCGAGTATTTTTCTGCCCATCCTCTCTCTCCCTTTTTTCTGAGACTCTAATTACATGTATGTTAGATCATACACAGGACACTGAGGTTCCAATATTTTTTTTTTCCCATCTTTTTTTTCTATCTGTGCTTCACTTTGGCTAGGTTCTATTGCTAGGTTTTCGATTTCACTACTCTTTTCTTCTGCATTGTTTAATCTGTGAATTTCTTCATTTCAGATTTATATCATCTGTTTCTCTTCTCATTTTGTTCATGTTCACCTTTATGTACCTCAATATATTTAATAACTTATTTAAATTCCCCCCAAAGCCCCAGTAGATAGTTGTATGTCATAGCTGCACATCCTTCTGGTTGCTGTATGTGGGACGAGGCCTCAGCATGGCCGGAGAAGCAGTGCGTCAGTGTGTGCCCGGGATTCGAACCTGGGCCGCCAGCAGCGGAGCGCGCGCACTTAACCGCTAAGCCACGGGGCTGGCCCGAGTCTTGCTCTACTGTATGCAGCTTACTATTTAGCCAAAGACTCAAAGGGATCCTTATGCAGATTTTTGTGTAGTTTTTCCACAGTTGGTACTCTGCTCCACAAATTTTAGCCACATTGCTGAACTCTGTGAGCCCCTATGCCCTGTTTAGATTCTCTTTCCCTGCACTGCATTCCAGAAAGTGCCTCTTAGCAGATCATAGGGCTTAGCACATTTGCTTGCTATCTCTCAGGGTTCACTGACCTGTATTGCCTATTGTTCAGTGTCAGAAAACAGCTATTTCTTATATTTTGCCCAATATTCTAGTTGTATATGGTGGGAACGCCAAGTTGTACTTGTTAATCTATCATGGCTGGAGTGTCATCTGTTTTTTATATAGCTGGTGTTTATTCTTTTCAAGACTTGTTTTATAAAGGAAGCCATCTTTTTTTAAAGAGGCTATTTTATTGAGATATAATTGATACATGATAAACTATACCTATTTAAATTGCACAATTTGTAAGTTTTGACATATATATTTATACATACTCATTAAACCATCATACAAAGTAGTGAACATATCCATCACCGCCAAAAGTTGTATCAGGCCCGTTGGTAATCCTTCCCTGCCCCTCTCTTTGTCCCCTCATTCCCAGACAACCACTGATCTGCTTCCTGTCATTATAGATGAGTTTGTATTTTCTGTAGATTTAGATATAAAGTAGCATATCATACAGTATTTTCTTTTTGGGGGATTTTCTTTCACTCAGTATAATTACTTTAAGATTTATCCACGTTGTTGCATGTATCAATAGTTCTTTTGTTTCTTTCTTTTTTTTTTTTTTTGTGAGGAAGATCAGCCCTGAGCTAACATCCATGCTAATCCTCCTCTTTTTTTTTTTTTTTTAAAGATTTTATTTATTTATTTTTCCCCCCAAAGCCCCAGTAGATAGTTGTATGTCATAGCTGCACATCCTTCTAGTTGCTGTATGTGGAACTCGGCCTCAGGATGGACAGAGAAGTGGTGCCTCGGTGCACGCCCAGGATCCGAACCCCGGGCCACCAGCATCGGAGCGCGCACACTTAACCACCAAGCCACGGGGCCGGCCCTTATCCTCCTCTTTTTGCTGAGGAAGACTGGCGCTAACATCTATTGCCAACTCTCCTTCCCCTCCCCCACCAAAGTCCCAGTAGATAGTTGTATGTCATAGTTGCACATCCTTCTAGTTGCTGTATGTGGGACGCGGCCTCAGCATGGCCGGAGAAGCGGTGCGTTGGTGCGCACCCGGGATCCGAACCCCCGGATTGAGCCGCCAGTAGTGGAGCACGTGCACTTAACCGCTAAGCCACGGGGCCGGCACAGTTCTTCTGTTTCTTATTGCTGAGAAGCATTTATTTATGTGGGTATACCATGGTTTGTTTACCCATTCATCTATTGATGGACATTTGGGTTGTTTTCAGTTTTTGGCTATCACAAATAAAGCTTTTATAAATGCTTGTGTACCATTTTTTATATGACATTTATTTCCTTTTCTCTTGGGTAAATACCTAGAAGTGGAATTGCTAGATATATGGTAGATATATTTAACTTATTTAGAAACTGCCAAATTGTTTTCCAAAGTGGTTATACAATTTTACATTCCCATCAGCAGTGTTTGAAAATTTCAGGTCCTCCACGTTCTCACCAGAATTTGGTATGGATAGTCTTTTAAATTTTAGGCATTTTAGTGGGTATGTAGTAGTATTTCATTGTGGTTTTAATTAGCATTTCTCTACTGACTAATAATGTTGAGCATCTTTTCATGGCGCTTCTTTGCCTTTTGTATATTTTCTTTGGTGAAGTCTGTTCACATCTTTTCCCTGTTTTTTAAATTGGGTTGTTTGTTTTCTTATTGCTGAATCTGAGAGTTCTTTATATATTTTGGATATAAGTCCTTTATCAGATATATGCTTTGGAAAGATTTTCTTCCAATGTGTGGCTTATCTTTTTATTCTCTTAACAGTGTCTCTTGAGGAGCAGAAGATTTTATTTTATTTTATTTTATTTTTTGGTGAGGAAGATTGGCCCTAAGCTAACATCTGTTGCCAATCTTCTTCTTTTTGCTTGAGGAATACTGTCCCTGAGCTAACATCTATGGCAATCCTCCTCTATTTTGTATGTGGGACACCGCCACAGCATGGCTTGACGAGTGGTATGTAGGTCCACACCTGGGATCTGAACCCACGATCCCGGGCCGCCAAAGCGGACTGCATGAACTTAACCACTACACCACTGGGCTGGCCCCAGAAGATTTTATTTTGGTGAAGGCCAATTTATCAATTAAAAAAAATTTTTTATGGACTCCGCTTTTGGTTTCCTGTGTAAGAAATCTTTGTCTAACCCAAGATCACAAAGATTTTCTCCTACCAGTTTTATAATTTTAGGTTTTACATTTAGGTCTATGATCCATTTTGAGTTAATTTTTGTATAATATGTAAGGTATGGATCCAAAGTTCATTTTTTAGAGTTTGGATATCCAGTTGTTCAAGCACCGTTTGTTGAAAAGGCTGTCTTTTCTCCACCACATTGCTTTTGAGCCTTTGTCAAAAATCAGTTAAATGTATATATGTGGGTATATTTTTGGATTTACTATTCTGTTCCATTGATCTCCTTGTCTGTCTTTACACCAATACCATAGTGTCTTGATTATTGTAGCTTTTTAATAATTCTTGAAATAAGGTAGTGTTAGCTGTCCAATTTTGTTCTTCTTTTTCATAGGTGTTTTGGCTATTCAAATTTCTTTGCATTTCCATATGTACTTTAGAATCAGCTGTTGATTTCTACAAAAAAGCCTGCTTGGATTTTGTGTAGGGTTGTTTTAGAGGTGTGGTTCCATATGAGAGCATTGACATCTTAACAATATTGAGCCTTCCGAAACATAAGCAAGCTGTATTGGCTCATTTATTTTTGTCTTTAGTTTTGTTCAGCTATATTTTGTAGTTTTCAGTGTACAGGTCTTTCATGTCTTTTGTTAGATTTATCCTTAATATTTTTTATGCTGTCATAAATGGTAGTTTCTTTTCACTTTATTCTTTTTGTGTAAAAACACTCTGTGGTGGCCACAGCTGGAGCCTGGTGCTCTGCACAGAGACTCTGGTGTTGGTCTTTACAAGATGGCCAATGAATTTCTGATAGGGAGACTTGGTGAACACAGTCTCTTTTCAGAGGTTGAGGATAAGATAGCTGTAGATCTTGGAGATGGCCTCAGAGGTGGCCTTGGCAAAGTCGCCCAAGATGGCAGTGCAGCCCCTGGCCAACGTGTAGCAGTTGTCATTACCTGCCATGAGCAGCTTCATGGGCACCGGGGCCAAGACAATAGCACTAGGTCTGGGTGAGAGGATGAAGCATACCAGCAGAGTGGCGGCACCCTATCACCTTGCAAGGAACTGTGTGGGGTTTGCCAGTCTTGTTCCCCCAGAAGTCCCACTGCACAGGACAATGGAGAGCTTGACCAGGATGCTGGCCCCATGGATGGCAGTGGTTACCTCCTTGGAGCACTTAGCACCCAGACTGACATGACTGTTCGAGTCCCCAGTGGCAAGAAGGACCTTGAACCTGATCCGCTGGCCAGCACTGTTCTGCTGTTACACAGGCATTAAGGGACGTCTCCAGAAAAATGTTAGTGATCTGAGATGTCTCGATGGACAGGAAGAAGAGCTAAATCTCCTCTAGGGACTTGATCTTCATGTCCTTGATCTGGGCAAACACTGATAAATTGCTGGTTGTAAGAGGGGAAAAAAGGGTTTTGAAAGTGTGTTTATGTGGAGTTTTTTTCATTGTTGACTGCCAGTGTCTATCCTCTTCAGCCTTCCAGCAGTCTGTCTCAAGTTGCAGGTCACTGGTATAATTTTCAGTAAATTATCCCCTGTGGTCTGACTCTGACAGGTACTAGAGGCACAGAGGAGGCATCAGAAGGAGAAATCTGGCATCATACCTACCTCGCCAACACCCTACACCTATAACAAGGTAAGGAGGAGATACTTACCATCACCCCTCAGGTAGAGCCCCTCTTCTAGGAGGGGTTTGTGGTCCTCTGGGTATATGGCCAATTCCATTCTTAAGCCCTTAACATTCCTGCCCAAAAGGCTGGAAGTAGCCACACATGCAGAAGAGTATTTGGAATTCAAGTTTTTGTCTGATGAAGTATGACATGAGGTTCTTACCAATTTAGGTTTCGCAGCAAGAACCAAGGGCTATGGTCACTTGTAGGTTATTTATTTGGCTACCTGTACAGTCCAGTGACCACAATTAAAAGATGTGGTTGTCTTGCTTTTTGGAGGTAGAGGCTATTTCTGAGAACATCCCATGGCCAGTTATGGTACCATTCTTTCTTACCCCATAAAATATCCAACTTAGAACAGTGTCTAGTACACATAGTAAGTGCTCCTAAGTGTTACCTGATACTATCACAGTTCTTAATATGTAATCTACACATCAAGCATCTCTGTTCTAAAGCACAGAGGTTTAGAGCCTCTTCCTGGAGGTCCTAGAGTTGCCAAGTAGATCAGAAAAAAATGATGCTGCTTGGGGACTCAAGCCTGGATATAGATGACAGAGAGGGAGCTGAGGATGATAAAAAGGCAGTAGGTGGCTCTTCCTGGGTCCCACACTTTAGAGGGCCCCACATATTCCTAACACACATGCATACATATCAAAGAACACACAGGCTCCTCTGCCCCTCAGGACCGTGCACTTGGTACTGGCACAGCGTGACCAGAACTGTAAACATCTACCTTCATGATTAACGCTGTTCAGTCCCCAAGTAATCACTGCTCCACACCTTCTTGCCCTACAAACTCAAAACTATAGGCAGCTGTGCCCTTATGTGGTAAAGGGTTGAGGGCTGTGCTGATTACAGTATCAGAGTCAGAAACTACTCCTTGCTTCCCACTGCAGGCAGGAATTGAGTGCTAGAAGCTCTTAGATAACAGATTAACTTACTCGCTAAAATCTCCTCAGCATGAATGCAGTGGGTTCTTGTATGATATATTATTTCCCAGTACTATTTTTTTCTTCTCTTCCTGTTCCATTTTGTGAATCTAGTGGTACTCATGAATTAGCATGGCATTCATAAAAATTAAATACTGCAGATAAGTAACATGTTGAAATAGTAAATAGTTCATGTTACTTTTGAATGTGTATATATGGTGGTCTAGATATAATCTTTATATTGGCAACTAAATAAAAACTGAATGCTACATTTGCAGATAATTTTTTATTTTTTTGGCTGGGGAAGATTTGCCCCGAGCTAACATTTGTTGCCAGTCTTCCTCTTTTTGCTTGAGGAAGGTTTGCCCTGAGCTAACATCTGTTGCCAATATTCCTCTTATTTTGTATGTGGGTCGCCGCCACAGCATGGCTGATGAGTGGTGTAGGTATGTGCCTGGGATCCAAAACTGGGCCGCTGAAGCAGAGCACACCCAATTTAACCACCAGGCCACTGGGCCGGCCCCTGCAAATAATTTTTTAAATTAAAATATATAATAAGATGTAATTAAATTTTCAAAAATTAAATAAATACGTCAACCTTAATTGAAAAAAAAAGAGGCAGTAGGCTGGGAGACTTGCTCTGGCTTCACCACTATTTGGCTGCGTGACGTTGGTTAGGTCACTTGGTTTCACTCTTGACAGATGACCTTACAGGTGATAAGATCTCTGTAATATCAGTTTCCTCGTGTAGAGTGAGAGATTTGAACTATCTTTAAGACTCCTTTTCACCTCTATAATTTAATAATTATGTTCTACTGCATGGGTCATGTCATCTACAAATATCTATTAGTATGATGGCAAAACATGGGTGAGAGTACCTGAGACACACCATCTTCCAGGTTTCTCTCAGAGCAGAGCACACAGCTATGGTGTGAGGAAGAGTGTGTGGACACAGTGGCAGGTTCCCTGGGCCACCCTTTTCAGGCAGACACTGCTTTTGTCCTGCAATTCAAGAAAGGCTTGAATTGAAGCCTCTGAGGACCCAGTTTCCAGGGCAGGTGGAGCTGCATTTAACTAAAATAGGAGTCCTTTATTAATAATCATGTCTGTCTTTATTAATAGTCATGCTGTGACTACAGGCCACAGAGTCACCTTTATACCTACAGATATTGTAGTTGGTGGCAGTTTTCTTTCTTTCAGAATATCTCCCCCAAGAATAGTGTTCGGTCTTGCAAATGGGCACAGTGAGTCCTTTGTGGCCAAAGCAATGCTTTTAGACCTCTTCTTCCCTCCACTGCCTCTCTGATCTGTGTCAAATTGCTTTGGGCTTTACGAAATAACTTGTGCTATATTATGGGGTCAGCCTGCCTGTGTCTTAGCTGCTTTATTCCTGCACTCTCAACCCAGCCCAGGTTGACAGAGTACATGTTTTACAACCAGTAGGCTTATATCTATTACTTCTCTGACTGGGGACAAAGTATCCTACACCTGTACCCAAGGATCAGATAGCAGCTTGGGCCTAAGCAGTGAAAATAAAAATGACTCTTTATTTTACCCCAGACTGGCTTGTATGCTGGTGTATATATATGTAGTGTTGGTGGCATATAAAAAATATGGAGAGAAAAGTTAGTTCTCTTAAGACTTACTCAAACTTTTCGGGTCTCTGTTAAGTGATTCTTGGAGATATCAGCCTGTGTATGTCAGGGCCTATTTCTGGGCTGGTCCTTGGGGGCTTTATTTTGGGACTGTGCCTCGGCTATGAGTGACCATTTTCTTTTTGCTTTCAGAGCTGTGACTTGTGGTCCCTAGGGGTGATTATCTACGTGATGTTGTGTGGATACCCTCCTTTTTACTCCAAACACCACAGTCGGACTATCCCAAAGGATATGCGGAGAAAGATCATGACAGGCAGTTTTGAGTTCCCAGAGGAAGAGTGGAGCCAGATCTCAGAGATGGCCAAAGATGTTGTGAGAAAGTGAGTCCCTGGGCTGCTGGGCGGGGAGGCCAAGGAGGCCTTAAGGTGGTGGAGCACAAGGGTGTGTTGGGTAGAGAAAAGTCATTTGTTTCTCAGGCATGCTCCTTCCCATTTTAGCATCACAGAAATCTTATCCCTGGAGCCTGAGATGAGACTTCTCAGTGTCCACACCTTGGCGAAAATGGAGCTTTGCTTCCTCCTGTTGCATTCCTAGAATTTGTTCCCAGGGTTGTGAACCCAGGTTCCTCGGTAGCCAGTGACTCTGTGAGCATTAATTCAGGACCTTAAATGGTAAATCCCCCAGTGTGCCCTTCTGGCATGTAAGCCAGTCATCTGGGACGGACATGACACCAGGAACTGAAGTGAGGTACTAAGACGACGACGACTCTTTCGGCTTTTCATCTCTTGGCTGCTGTGGGAGTATATGATTGATTGTGTAGGGTCTGGACTCCGCTCCTCAGCCTTCCCACTGCTAGGTGGTTGCTCTGACATGTATTAAGATGGGAAGATGTAGAAGAATTAGGGCTAGTGAGTTGATGAGGGAGAGCTGACATTCAGAGTCCTTTGGTAGCTGGAGGACTAGGTAAGAAGTCAGACCTAAATCTGAGGTGTATTTGTTTTTCCCGCTCTCCTGTGGGAGGCTCAGCTGCCTGGGACTTGGGCGCTGTTCTGATATTCCTACTGCTTGGTCTTCACTGAGCAGTTTCTCCTTTTTTGGTTTCAGTTTCTTCATCTGTATGCAATGAAGATAAGCATTAACTGGGAACTGTCTCCTGACAGTACAGCTGTTTCTCTATGGGGATCACTCCCTTTCAAAAGTGAGCTTGTCCTGTTGGTTAGGGGCCTATGTATATATATATAAAGAAGGACTAGTTTCTAAAATAAACAAGTAAAAGTTTTTTTATGAGAGCAGAGGTAATGATTAAATCATCCTCTGTCTTCCCATGCTATCTGCATGCTGTATTCTCAGCTATTTAACCAAAACATCAGTATCCTCCAAGTGGTTCTCTATCAGTTCTATAGAATAGATTTCCTGTCCCTAGAGCAACATTGATTACCTTTTTTCAGCTTTGGGATTCTTTTCCAAATAATCTTTTCTTTAGAATCTGAAGCTGTTTTTTCAGAATGATCCAGAAGGTTGCAGAGAACCTGAAAGAGCAAGTAGGCATGTTGTCCTGACTCTGACATTTGGAATAGGAGGATATGTGGTTGGAAGGAGGTGCTGTAAAAAGCCCTGGGAACGTGCTGAGGTGAGCTAGGGATTGTGTCAGTATGAATGGACAAGAGGTAAAGAAGTATGATCAAAGAGCAGCAGGACAGAGCAATACATTAGGCTTGGAAAGAAGTGCCATCCCCTTCTCAGAGACTCTAGAGTTTTAGCTTTTGAATGTCTTTAGAATAAAGGGTTCATGTCCTGCTATATGGTGACACATCTAAGAGTTTTATCCCAAGTAGTAATCGGATTTTCAGAACCGCATGACCCCTCAACTAATTTTGCAGCCATTATCAGCCAAAAGAGCACTTTGAGTCCCTTTTGGAAATTAGAGCCCACTGTCCTAGAAACATCACTATAGAGGTTCAAAGTCTCAGGAACTATAAGTCATATGTAGGATTACCTCATTGAACCTAGAACTCAGTCTGAAGTATCACTGGATCAAGCCTTTTACTACCATTTTTATCTCACTGTCTGGTACAGAAAGGACCGCCCAGGGACACAGTGCCCTCACAACTAGTGGTTAGGGATTTGAACCCCACCCCTGCCCTGCAGATGGAAAGTCTAGGTTTGTAGGCATTGGTAGAAAGTCAGAAGCTGGAGCTGGTTAGAGCCAGACCAGACCAGAACTTCCTGGCCTTCTGGCAGCCCTGTTGGCCTTTTCTCCACAGGCTCTTGAAGGTCAAACCAGAGGAAAGACTCACCATCGAGGGAGTGTTGGACCACCCCTGGCTCAACTCCACCGAGGCCCTGGATAATGTGCTACCCTCTGCTCAACTGATGATGGATAAGGTTTTGAATGATGCTTATTTTGTTGGCTGAAAAGGCATGTGTTGAGAAGGCATGCTGGGGCTCAACTCAGTGAGGGGTTAAAGGCAAAACAATGCAGAACACTCAGTCTTTCCCAGAGAAACATCTCTGGTTTCCTGAAAATCAGGATTGGAAATAAAGTGTTTCTTTCTGTAAAAGAGCAGATCAAGGTCTAGTAAATATACACTAAGGAAACACTCAAAGGAATATCCTCCATATTTGTGCTTTGGGGTTGGGGGCACAGAGCAGTATAGGAAATCCTCCCTTCCCCCAAGGGGTTTAAACAAGACTCGTTTGAAAGACCAATAAACACGGAACAAAGAGGGAACATTTCAGACATGAGAGCTTTGCATGCTAAATTTTCTGTGAATGCTATGGGAATTCAGAAAAAGAGAACATCCCTGAAGGGCTGTAATTAGGGAAGGGTTCTTGAAGAGCAGGCAACCCCCCTCACATTTATTAACTATTGTGTGGCAGTTTCTGAGCTCTTTCACATGTTTGGCCATGAGCTGGCCTTCACGAATTTTAGTAGACAGTTTAAATGCCCAAGTGTGGTGAACAACATGAGCAAAATATTAGAAGCTAAAGTGCATCAGTGGGAAAAACAGCCTGGCTTCATTAATGGGAAGTTGGTGAGATAGGTGTGGCAGGGCCAGGCTTTGAAAGTAGAGAGAGGGGTTTAAGTCTTAGTAGGATGTAACTGAGAGGCCATTGTAGATTTTTGATAAGAGATTTGCCACAGGGAAGGTATTTAGGGATGGTCAGCCAGACTTGCAGACTTGCCAACCTCAGACTTCTACAGTAACCTAGAAGCTAAGGGGTGGCTCTGGGAGCAGAGAAGTAGAGATGAATAAATAGGCTCAATATTTTTGAAGACAAATTTCTACAATTTTTGGTGACTTGCTAGATATAAGGGGACAGTGGGTGGCATATGTGGTGATACCATTGACAAATAGAGGGAAATCAGGAACGAGACTGGTTTGGGTAAAGGGACATCTCTTAGGTTTTAGATACTGTTGAAGGTGGCAGATGGACATTCAAATGGATGAGATGTGTGGTGTGGGACCAGAGTGTGGCTGAGAGGTAAAGACAGTAACACAGACTTGAGTGTTACTCTCAAGGGATGGGGTTGAAGGGTGAGAAAGAATAAACGAATAGGAAAAAAGAATGCTAGACCTCCCTTAATTTAGCTGGAGTATGGGAGAGAAAGGAAAGCTGGAAGGAACAGACTTCTCTGCCGTGTGGTTGTCTTCCTGGTTTAGATATGCTCAGTAGGCCAGGAGTGGTTTGGTCAGTCCAAAACCCAAAGGGATTACTTGGATCCTCTGGTTGTTAGCACATGGTGGTTACACTGTGGCTTTCCTTAGGATCTTGGAAATGAAGAAATAAGATTGCCATCTGGAGTTACTTTAAAATTAATGCATAATGAAGCCAAGTATGGCTATGTAGAATCTTCTTAATGAGAAAGAGTGGTTCCTAAGTCTACAAGATGGAACTGCAATGTGACAGTATATTCCTGTTTTTAAAGAAATGATATGGTCATGATGTGGGTTGGTCAACTTTGGAAATGTAGGAAAAAGAGCCACATATGCAGATGTTGAATAGTCTCTATCTAAGCCCTCCCTAGGAGATGGAGCCTGAGCTCATGACCTTGAGCTGTTTCCATCTTTTTGGTTGAGCCATCACTGATGAGGAGATAGATGTGAGGGTCCAGGGTAGTGTAGACCGGGCTGGCCATTACATTCCCTTCATTGAGTTCAAACTCTTCCTGATCTAACTGCATGCTTACCAAGGAACTATTTTTTTTTTGGTCTTTTGTTGTTGAAATTCAAACAATATAGAAGTATATAAAATAAAAAGCAAAAGTTCCCTTTCATTCCCCTGCCTCAGACTCACCCCTCAGAGGTCAGGTAATCTATGGCTTGATGTATCCCTTCCTGATCTTTTTCTGGGGAGACACAGACATACTCACAGAATTTGTCCTTTTTTTAAATACAAAAGTGGGATCATCTTGTTGGTAAGAAGTTTTCTGCTGATTATTTGCCTTCCCTCATTGGTCTGCCCCTAGTGAAAGCACGCACTGGTCATAAAGACACAGACTTCAAGAGTTCTAGACTCCACGATAGTTATTTCTCATTGTAAATTAATTGACTGGCTTATAGATCAGTTCCTAAAGGTTTACGATGCTCAACGTGTGAAATGGTTGGGATTCTGAGCTTCAGGGCTGAGGTGACTGTCTACACTGTGGGGCCAGTGAATAAATGCCACTCTGGGAGGCTTCTCAGGTAGTAGCCTGCCAGCCTTTCCCTGTTGTACATGTACGCCTCTCCTTACACTTGCCCTTGCCAGTGACTGTGAGCAGGAGCCTTGGTAGTATTTCTTACTTGCCTTTGTGCCCCCTGCAGGGAAGAAGGGCTAGCTAACTGTTGTGTGGCCCTTTTGTTGCCCTGGTATTCCCTGGGCCCTGCTGATCCATGGGGAAGAGTCCTCTGCCTTACCTTATGCTGTTTACTGCCAGCATAAGAATGAAATTGCCTTCTTAGTTCTTTGAGCCTCTCCTCCCACTTTCTTAGATTGGCTTTTTAGGTGCCCATAAATGAATGTGGAAAAACTGACGACAATGTTTGCATTCAGGCGGTGGTTGCAGGAATCCAGCAGGCTCACGCAGAACAGTTGGCCAACATGCGAATCCAGGATCTGAAAGTCAGCCTCAAACCCCTGCACTCTGTGAACAACCCCATTCTGAGGAAGAGGAAATTACTTGGGTAACTGAGCTTATTTCATCCATTTTCCTTCATGGCTGATGTGGCTGAGTGTAGGGTTCTAAAAGGTCAGCCAGGGGTCTGCCCTTTTTCTGCCTCTTAAGAAGATGGAAAGGATAAGCTCTTTAAATAGCATCAGAAGTTGGAGATACTCTATAGTTAATTATTTTATCTGAAAAATCTGTTGCCTTATGTTTAGAGTTAACATCTGTTGAGAGTTGGGTTTTGAGGTCTCACCTTGTTATTACCTCTCTCTCAAACTTTTAAAGCACCAAGCCAAAGGACTGTGTTTATATCCATGACCGTGAGAATGGAGCCGAGGATTCAAATGTTGCCTTGGAAAAGCTCCGAGATGTGATTGCTCAGTGTATTCTCCCCCAGGCTGGTAAAGGTCACGCCATTTACGAATGCTCTGTGTGTGTGTGTGTGTGTGTGTGCGTGCGTGTGCACACAAGTGCACATGCACATGATAAAAGGAGTGGTTTAATTTGAGGTTGTCTGTTTCATCTTTGTGTTATAAGAAAATAAGTATATAAATTAGTCTGTGCCCACTAAAAATAGTGGACAGTGAGTGGGAACTCAGAGATGTGGTAAGTTCTCCCCCTCCTTTGGTTTTCTGTGAAATTTCTAGTTGAGGTTTAATTGCCAGTGTCAGGCACAGCATATAATTTTCTGTTTTCTTAGTTTGTTAACGAGGGCACAGGATAGAGGATGGAGAATAGAAATTGTGGCAGGGTCAGGATCAAGTTGGGAAGGTCAGGAAACATCATTTCCAGAACCTTTAGAGTGCAAGGCTGTCATTAACTTGTGAATATAAAGAGAACACCTTCCAAGTTCAGAAGCGGCCCCTGCTGCTATTCGTATCATGGGCAGAGTGTGACTTATACATGGGTCCTTTTGAGTGACAGCTTTCTTGCAGTATGTTCTCTCTCCACTCATTGGGGTGTGATGGGCTTTTCTCAGCAGATTTTATTGAGATGCTTCAAGAAGTAGGCCAGAAAACTGTTGGGTTGACCTGTCTTCCTAGATTCTTTGTGTTTTAAGAGAACTCACATAGTGTACCTAAGATAGCCTTCCAAAGTAAGAAATGAGCCTAGGAGAAAGAAGGGAGCCCACTCAGCCTTGTTCTTCCTTCCTCTCTTAGTCTCTTGGGTTAACCCGGTGTTTTTGCTCAGCAATAGAGTCTGACACTGCCTATTTCCCATTCCCCAGTGCTAAGACTCTGGGGCTATCAGAGGATTTGTGTGAGACTGTCACAGTGAAAGAGCTCAAAGACTAGAAGTGGTGTACGTGTAATGTAGGGACTAGCACTAACGACAGTGTCTGGTAAAGTTTGCACTTTTAATCATCACTTCTCAATAAGTTGAACATCATGTCCTTCCATCTGTGACACTAAAATCCCATAATGCTACAGAAGAACGTAACTTCTTCAATTTTATCAATAGGAGAGAATGAAGATGAAAAGCTGAATGAAGTAATGCAGGAGGCTTGGAAGTATAACCGGGAATGCAAACTCCTAAGAGATACTCTGCAAAGCTTCAGCTGGAATGGTAGGAGCCTGAACTACTCCTTTCCCCAGGAATGCAGAAAAGTGATTATGTATAGAACATGTGTAGGATCTCTGGGGGCCAAGCCGGGGCTGTTTTCAGACCAAGTGAGGCTGGAGAGTGAGTGGAGTATTGTGGGACTCCACATTAGCCCTACATTAACTGCCCAAGCATGTCTGGACATCTGGCCCTTTCACTTGTTTTCCAGAGTTCAGATAAATTGTGTGTTGCAAATTTAACACTGCAGAGCCCTTGTCACACACCACTTGGGCAAAAAACCCCTCAGATTTCAGAACTCCTCCCAGATACCTGGGCTGTTGACTAGGTCATTAAGGAGCAGTATAGTCTGAAGGGGAGAAAGAGGGCAAAGTACCAGGGAGTCCAACCTGCTGATCTACTTATCTTAGAGAAGAGCTGTTTTACTAAAGAGTAGAGAGTTTGCCAGATCTGCTGCTCACTGAATTTTTTTCCCCAGGCAAACAAAGTAGAGATGTATTTCTTGAACTGCTTTTTGTATTGTCTTTCTATTTAGCAGACTAAACTAAACTTAAGCTCCAGGATGCTCAGAGAAGGGAGCAAACTCTTTGACTTCATTGCCTGGCTTGGTTCTTGGACATGAGAAATCCAAAGTACGAGCCTGGCCATTCCCATACTTGGAGGAGATTAGCTTCCCTGGGATTTTTTTTAAGATTTTGAAATATCAATACAGAAAAGTGATCACTCTTGAAGTGTGCACTTTGGATGAATTTTTAGAAAGTGAACACTCCCCTGTAAGCAGCACCTAGAACATGTAGTGGAACGTGGGCCCTCTTCTAGTCACTACCTCCCATGCCCAAGAGTAATCATGATCCCGATTTCTAGCACTATAAATTAATTTTGCCTGGTTTTGTATGTTAGGTAAATAGAATCAGACAAGTCTGTGTTCTTTTGTGTCTGGCTTCTTTTAGTCAACATTATATTTGTTGACTAAATCAATATATATATTTGATATATATATATCTGTTCTACTGTTGAATGGACATTTGGGTTGTTTCCAGGTTTTGGTAATTAAGAAAAGGCCTGCCAGGAACACTCTTGTGTATATATTTTGATGAACTCATTTCTCTTATGTACCTAGGATTGGAATTGCTGGTTCATGGGGGTATTCATTTGTTTGGCTTTAGTAGGTACTGCCACTGGTTTTCCAAAGTGGTTGTACCAATAATACTTCCACTAGCAGTGTTTGAGGGTTCTAGTTATTCTTCATCCACAGCAACACTTGCTATTGTCTATCATCTTTTTTATTTTAGTCATTCTGGTTATTATGTATCGGTATTGAAATGTCATTTTACTTTGCCTTTCCCTGATGACGTTTGAGCTTAAGCACTTTTTAAATATTTATTGGCTGTTTAGATTTCCTCTTTTGTGAAGTGCCTCTTCTTCTGCCCATTTTTCTATTGAGTTGTATCTTTTTCATAGATGTGAAGGAGTTCTTTATTCTGGATACGAGTCCTTTGTCAGACATACATAATACAAAGATCTTCTCCCTCTTTGTGGTTTCCTTCTGTGCTGTTGTAGTGAAGATTGGATTTTTACTGCTGGGTTAAATGAAACTGCTCAATTGCTACCTAAAAAATGGGAGATCTGGGGCCGGCCTGATGGCGTAATGGTTCAGTTTGCGTGCTCTACTTTGGTGGCCCAGGTTTCACAGGTTTGGATCATGGGCGCGGACCTAAGCACTGCTCATCAGGCCATGCTGTGGCAGTGTCCCACATACAAAATAGAGGAAGATTGGCATGGATGTTAGCTCAGGGACAATCTTCCTCACCACAAATTTAAAAAAAATTTTTTTTTAAATGGGGGATCTGAACTGCTTTTGATCAGTGTTGGGGATGGTTCCCCACTTGATGAGGGTGAATTTGATACTGGTAAGGTATATTTTATTGGGTCCCTGTCAAGAATCCATCACCTCCCAAACAGTTTGGAAACTGACATTTTTCTTTCTTGGGTTTCAGGTCGTGGATTCACAGATAAAGTAGATCGACTAAAACTGGCAGAAATTGTGAAGCAAGTGATAGAAGAGCAAACCATGTCCCATGAATCTCAATAATGACAGCTTCGGATGTTGTTTTTTAACAATTTGAAATATTATTCTTTAATGTATAAAGTAATTTTTATGTAAATTAATAAATCATAATTTCATTTCCACATTGCTTAAAGATACTGTATAGATTTAGATACAGGATTTACTAATAGTATAGTTCATTTATTTGTTTTTAAGAAAAGCTCAGTTCCTAGAGATACACTATGACTTTAGGACTATTTAGTCATAAGTTTGTAAGATGACAGATGGTATTGTCAAGCAAGATCTTTTTTTTTGTAGTAATGTATACAGAAACCATTTGCCAGCAGTAGACAAAGGACCAACTATACTGACCTTTCTGCTTAGTAAACAGTTGAATCAAGTACTGTGGAATCTGGTTTCAATTGCCCTGTGTATTTATTTTCTTTACTATCAGTAGATTAGCTCTGGTGCCAAGAAATTTTCGTGGATCCATGTTGCAGACTGCCTGCTGGAACTCACAGGATGCCAACTCCCATGATGGAAGAGACAGGGAGCTGAGCCCTCATTTCTCTTGTCCCTAATTCCCTAGGGAAAAGTGATAACATTTCTTTTTTCGTCATATTTTTTACAGGGTATTGGTGTGTTTCTTAACTCTAATGGGATTATCTTTTGAGTTTATTCTTTTCATGTTTAACCAGAGCTTCAGATTCCCCTCCCCTAAGGTCCTACTTTGTCTTCTCACCTTCCCCACAGCCCTCACCAGCTCCATTGCTTCTTATTTCCTTTCCCGTTCTTCTGGCCTCCTCCACGGGATGATTTTTCTGAGAAAGTTACATATCATAAAAACTGGACCATTGGATTAGCATCTAAAATGGTCCAGTTTTTTTCTCTAAAAGCTGCTCTTTTTCTCTGTCATGTTTCTGCCTGGGTTTCACGCTGGCATTCCCTGGACTGCATTTATTTTGTTTAGTACCTTTTATTTTCAGGAAGCATGGTTCTGGCCCAGAGATCAGCTGTTTCAATGGAAAACAAAGCTGGATGCTATTCTAGTTTTCTGTTGTGCATATGGGCTTCCATAACAAACCATTTTTATTTATTTATTTTTTGAGCAGTTTTTGGTGGGTACCTGTGTTGGCAAATAGAGCTCTAATAGGCAAACTCCAGTTCACAGAGCAGAGGAAGAAGGTCAGTAGGCTCAGTTATTCAGTTTTATTCCATCACATTCTCTTCAATCAAAATCAATCCCACAGAGCTCACTTATTTTCTAACTCCTCCACTTTGCTGAGTATGTCTTCAGGGTGACATTTGATTAGTATGCTCATATGTGTATGACTGACTGTGGGAATATATGATAAAAACACAAAGTATCTTCTAAGAATTAGCTTATTGCATTGGTTCCCTTTCATCTTGGAGAATTTATAATTCAGGGTATTTTTTGAGGTAAGGCTCACTAATCCTAGCTGATTGATAACTGGTAAAAATAGATACCCTGTAAGCAGCGTTCAGTACTTTTAAATGTAGCAAAATCTATGAGTTAGGCAGCAGAGAAAAAATGTTTTCTTACTTACTGACCAAAAAACTTAGCTGAGAGTTGAATTAAGGGTTGAATTAAATTATTCTGTTTTTCAGGTCTTACAAATCACTTCTTACAATCAGGAAAAACTCTGCGCTTGTTTGTAGAACAACTGACACTCGTTTTTCTTAGGGCAGAGGTTTCAGTATTTGCTGGGGAGAGGAAGGCAGTAATTAACTTTGTTACTCTTCTTTTTCTTCAGAGGAACCTTCTAGCATGCGCAGTCTACCATTAACTTCTCAGATTTGTTATCTGCATGTCTTCTAAAGGCTCAGGATGGTTTTTTTCCTTCAATGTGTGGTGAATTTTAGGCATGATCTAAAAGGGTCTCCAAATGATGCTTCCTTTTACTCTGACCAGCAGTTGCCTGTGTTTCAGTCACTTCAGGCTGAACTAATCTGGCCCCTAAAATGAGTGCTGTGTCCAGACACGTCCAGATGAGCACCACGCTGGAAGTATGTGAATACACTGCCATTATAACTCCAGAGTGGGTCCTACCCTGGACAGAGCTCCTTGACAAAACAATAGCTCCCAAAGGACTTCAAAGTGGAGTTTTGTTTGTGGTCTTTGTTTGGTCTTCAAACTGGAGTTTTGTTTGTGGAGTTTGTTTGTAGGCTAGGAGCAAATTCTGCTTTCACATACCAGTCAGGTTTATTAAGAAAGCAAAATTTGCATGTAACTGGAAGTAAAAAAAAATCATTCTTGTTTCTCTGGCCTGTCTCTCTAACACCTGTACCTGTGGAAAGTTCACGTTCTAAGAACAGTTCTCGCAGGCAGGAGGTTAGTTTCCAGTTTTCCCACATGATTTGCTAACCCTCTGCTTACTAAAACCATTATTTATCACTCAAATACCATTAGACTTTACTGTACTTATACATCTGCTTGATGTAAAACAACTTGTGTGTCTTTCTGGCTAATATATTGTATAAGCATAGGAGAATACCTGTCAGAAATTTATTGTTTCAAACATATATATAGGAGGAACTGCTTTTTAAAAAGAGTTTTGTGCTTGTATTCATTTGAGAAAGAACAAGTTGAAGGAATTATTGGTTAAAGAAGGCAAATGATTTAAATCAGATCTTGTGTGTGAATGCTTGCGTGTGCCTGTATTTATTGAAGAAAATGTGTTTCAATTTGAGAATTGGAAAATTGGATATTTAATTTTAATTATATTTTTATTTATTTAAAAAGTAGAAGTGTTCTTTCATTATTGATTTGGTTCTTTTATCCTACAAAATGACTTAATTTGCCCTGTCTGTTTTGGTTAAGACACAGGGAAACACCCTAAGCCTATGATAAATTCCAAATTATATAATTTTGAGGCTTTACTCTTATATAAAATACAAGGAGAAAAGAAATCCAGCCAGAAATCATTTCATCTTTTTTGTATAATTTTTTTAATGGTTTGTGATATGACAGTATGAATGTTCTTGCTAGATGCTAATGATAAATTTTATCATCTGTATTAGGAATTAAATATTAGTAATTGGGGATAATGAGTTGATCTGCTTTCATGCTCATATCTGAGATTTTGTGGTGCCATACCATTCCTTTTTGAATTAGATAGGGCATTTCCCCATTTTTGAGTGTTACTTTTAAACATAACCTTATTTTAAAGGTTTTATATTGTAAATATTTGACTTAATATAAAGTTATTTTTATGAAAGATAAAAGATGTAGAGTCTTACTTTAGTGCATCTTAGAATGCACAGGAGAATAACTGGCTGGGCAAGAAATATGGATAGATAGGGTTTTTTTTCCCTTTAAAATCTGTACTGTTAAATATACCAGGAAATCAAGATATTACAGTTCAATTTTAGTTTAAAAAGTGAAGAAATCTTTTAAAAGTTCTTATAGAGTCCATTTTTATTTTCTTGATGAAATGGTGACTAGATAACCTGGTTAATCAGACTTTGTTTTTACACCAGAGTTTGTCTTTATGTTGAGGCAGTTGGGAGGAATTGAACTTTGATCCTAGTCACTTATATACCTCCATAGGGAAACTGAGCTCATTTCATTTAACACTTACTATGCCTATGTATTAGGAAAACAACTTTTTTTTTTTTAATAATAATAGCTCCCATTTATTGACTACTTAGAATGTACCAGGCACTGTGTGCTGAGCAGTTTACAGCTATCATCACATTTAATTCTCATATCAATCCTGAAAGATGAGTATTATCTCCTTTTTATTTTATTGTTTTTTGCTCTTTTATTTTTTTTAAAAAATTTTTTGTTTATTGCAGTAACATTGGTTTATAATGTATAAATTTCAGGCGTACATCATTATACTTCTATTTCTGCATAGATTACATCATGTTCACCACCCAAATACTAATTACAACCCATCACCACACACATGTGCCGAATTATCCCTTTTGCCCTCCTCCCTCCCCCCTTCCCCTCTGGTAACCACCAATCCAATCTCTGTCTCTCTGTGTTTGTTTATTGTTGTTATTATCTAACTACTTAATGAAGGAAATCATACGGTATTTGACCTTCTCCCTCTGACTTATTTCACTTTGCATAATACTCTCAATGTCCATCCATGTTGTCACAAATGGCTGGATTTCATCGTTTCTTATGGCTGAGTAGTATTCCATTGTGTCTATATACCACATCTTCTTTATCCATTCGTCCCTTGATGGGCACTTAGGTTGCTTCCAAGTCTTGGCTATTGTGAATAATGCTGCAGTGAACACAGGGGTGCATGTATCTTTACGCATTGGTGTTTTCAAGTTCTTTGGATAAATACCCAGCAGTGGAATAGCTGGATCATATGGTAGTTCTATCTTTGATTTTTTGAGGAAAACTTCTTTGTAGAGAAAAATTATGTTTATATGAAGATATAAAATGTCTGAACTCATCTGTTATGAACAAAGGCTAATGAGGGAGAATCTGTGCATCCACATACAATTTTTCTTGAATTAAAGGAAAAAAACAGACACTGACAAAAGAAGGTTGGACTGAGAAACTGTACCCTGAATACTACAGAAATGAAGAAAAGAGGCAGTGGGCAACAGAGAACTTTGTCCTGCTCAGAGATCCCCAAAGAATCCCTGTCCCCTCCCCCCAACCTCCTGCCAGAATGTTGGGTTTCAAAGAATCAGCAGATTAACGGATATCAGGAGTAGCGTGGCCTCGGCTGAGGATAAGGATAATTTGCCTGAGTTTCGGTACTGGCTAAATCATTACAAAGCTTGTACTTGGTATATCTCCCTGTGAGGGTGAAGGGAACTTAGCCAAGGAACCTTAAAGCTGTTGCTGTTGGGAGAAAGTCATACAGTAAGGAAACTACTGAAGATCAAGAGAGAGAGAAGCAAGAATGAAAACATAGCCCCGAAGTCTGTAAGACTTAGAGCCGGGCAGCAGCTACTTATAAGGGAGTCAGCATAGATCTGGGGTTAATACCTGAGTCTCTGAGGCTCAGCATGCCAGAGAGAGCTGCTGCTGATGGACACAGGCCCTGCATCATCAACTGAGTCACTGGGGACATGTCAGTGGCAGCCTCTATGAGAGGTTCTGCCTCTGTACTGCCTTCTCGATGGAAAAACCAAGTGGCCTTGAAAGAGGGTAAGATAAAGTTTCAGACTTGGGCTCAGCAGAAGATGAACTTGAGACTGGGGCCAGCACCAGGCTCTTCATGTGTCAGGTTAGGGATTATGTTGCTGTTAGTGATTTTTCTGCCAAGCATGTACTGTGATCTGGGATCTGTATATTACACTTTCTATGAAATAATTATTCCCAAGCAGCTGACAGTCAAGGGAAGGGAAGACCCAGTGGAAAAGGCATCTTACATGCTATTTATGCAGGGCCAGAAGCAGCTGATTCACCTGAAGGTGAAGAGAGACTATTTTGTGGATAACTTTCCAGTCTTCAGCTACCACGATGGCAGCCTGGGACAAGAAATGCCCTTCATCTCACGTGACTGTCACTACGAAGGCTACATAGAAGGCATCCCAGGTTCTTTTGTTTCTGTCAACACCTGCTCAGGCCTCAGGGGCATCCTGATTAAGGGGGGAAAATCCTATGGCATTGAGCCCATGGACTCTTCAAAACGGTTTGAACACGTGTTGTACACCATGGCACACGAAGCTGGAATCTCCTGTAGTGTCACTTCCGAAGACAGCCAAGTGGCGTCCACCAGCCAGCAACAAGGGAGCAGGAAGCCTCACAGTCCACAGGCGCTGTCCTACTTGTGGTCACACACCAAGTATGTGGAGATGTTTGTCGTGGTCAACAACCAGCGGTTCCAAATGTGGGGCAGTAACATCAATGAGACAGTCCAGAGAGTGATGGACATCATTGCTCTGGCCAACAGCTTCACTAGGGGAATAAACACCGAGGTGGTGCTGGCTGGAATGGAGATTTGGACCGAGGGGGACCTCATAGAGGTCCCAGTGGACTTGCAAGTTACACTCAAGAATTTCAATAGCTGGAGACAAGAGAAGCTCTTCCAACGTGTGAAGCATGATGTCGCCCACATGATTGTTGGACATCGTCCTGAAGAGGATATGGGACAGGCATTTCTCAACGGTGCCTGTTCAAGCGGCTTTGCAGCAGCTGTTGAATCCTTCCATCATGAAGATGTCCTCCTGTTTGCAGCGCTCATGGTCCATGAGCTGGGGCACAACTTGGGTATTCAGCACGACCACTCGGCCTGCATTTGTAAAGATACACGCTTTTGCCTCATGCATGAAAATATCACTAAAGAAAGTGGCTTCAGCAACTGCAGCTCTGATGACTTCTACCAGTTCCTCCTTGAACTCAAAGGCGCCTGCCTATTCAACAAGCCTCAGCACAAAGGCCGCATGCGTAGGAATGCTGAATGTGGTAATGGTGTGGTGGAAGGCGATGAGCAGTGTGACTGTGGTTCTTTCTGTGCCAGTCACCCGTGCTGTGACCAAACATGTAACCTGAGGGAGCATGCACAGTGTAGTGATGGACTCTGCTGTTTCGCTTGCCAATGGAGAAATACAGGATTCATGTGCCGTCCTCCTTTGGGAGAGTGTGACCTCCCAGAGTATTGTAATGGTTCCTCTGGAGAATGCCCCACAGACAGCTATAAGCAAGATGGTACATCATGTGATTTAATTCACTATTGTGTTGGGGGTCGGTGTAAGAACCCTGATAATCAATGCATTGGTATATATGGGCACCCTGCAAGGTCTGCGCCAGAAGACTGTTACATTTCAATGAACAGCAAAGGGGACCGATTTGGAAACTGTGGCCGTCCTACCTTGGCTAGGTCAAGATATGTTAAGTGTGTAGATGATAATTTATTTTGTGGGAAACTTATATGTACAAATATTAGACGGGTACCACGAGTCAAACCGGGACATTCACTGATCCAGGTCGCTCATGAAAATGACTTCTGTTGGAGCATGGATGCATATAACACTACTGATATCCCTGATGATGGAGATGTGCACACTGGCACTCTTTGTGCCCCACACAAAGTGTGCATGAATTACTCCTGCACTGATCACGCTGTGCTCAACTATGACTGTGAACCAGCAGAAATGTGTAATGGGAAAGGAGTTTGCAACAATTTAAAGCACTGCCATTGTGAGGCTGGCTATGCCCCTCCTGACTGCAGAGATCCTGGAAATGGGGGTAGTGTGGACAGTGGTCCTCCTGGCAAAACAATGTTTGAAAATCTAAGTGCAGGTGAAAGTCGCAGTCCAATTAAGCGTGGGAATGAAGTTAAACGTCTTGGCATGATAATTTTCATACTCCCTATATTTCTTATAGTATTATTGTTACTTTTATTACTTATCATTAGCCTCAATGCTGGAATTGAGTCAGTAGAGACGCCAGGGGGCTCCACAGTATTGAGCTCAGAGGAGACTGTGGAGTCCTTACAGGAGATCGAACCAGAGGATGTCCCAAAGGAGGCACCACAGGAAGCCCCTCCAGAGGAGGCCCCACCACCGGAGCAGGCCCCACCACCGGAGGCTCCAGCCCAGGAGCAGGTCCCACCCCAGGAGCAGGCCCCACCCCAGGAGCAGGCCCCATCCCTGGCGGCCCCACCCCAGGAGCAGGCCCCACCCCCAGAGGCCCCACCCCAGGAGCAGGCCCCACCCCCGGAGGCCCCACCCCCACAGGCCCCACCACTGGCCCCAGAACAGCCTGCACCATAAGAGGTGAAGGACAGAAATAACCACAGGCAGAAGAGTAGTGGAGGAAGAAGCCAAATACATGAAATACTTCAAGCACCGAGTGGGAATAAGAGGCTCAGAGAGGCAAAGGTGAAGTGGGAACTGATAGCTCCAGTGGCTCAGATTGGACTCTATAGTCTATGGAAACATACGAATGTGGGAGGAGAGAACTCCCTGCTTACAATATTCATTTTAGCAATTTGCTTATGTATTCATATATGAAATCACACATGAAGTATCCTATATTTTTGCTTTTTCCCATTTCATGAAACTTATTTAAGCTCTTCTCATGCATTATTGCTATCAATGTCTTGATTCATTTGGGCCCATTTCTGAGCTGAAATTATTTTTCAGGACATACGATCTTCCATCTATTTTGTTTGATAAAATATATTATCTGTACCTATATTACTATCACTGGATTATTCATCCCAGTCACAATAATGCATTATTTTAGGGACAGTATCTACTGAGTATCTAATTTGCCCTGACAGTTTCTATTCATGAAATAGAGGTAATTCAAAATAAATAAAAGGCTATTTTCAGATGAAGCATCACTTCAGATTCCATGCAACCTAGTCCTTGGGGCTTCTTTATTTCAGGGTTCTCTGGATGGGGCTATATCTGATCCAGGGTGGTCTGATCACAGGGGTCTGGGTGCATGCGGCAGGGATAGGCAACTGAGCTAAGGGGACCCTTACATATTGCTGAGTTCATGTTGGAGGATTTTGTTATTTCCTTTCATTTTTTTCCTTACTTTCTATATTGAAGTTGATATTTTGTCTACTAACAATTCATAGGAACCTCCCCAATAGGAGGTAACAATACTTTGGATGTGGTAGTTATTTGTGAAGAGAGCACAAAGCACACATAATAATGACTTTGCCCATTCTGTGCAAGACACTGCTGAACACTTTACATTCATTGTCTTAATTAATGTAATCCTACCATCTGCCATATGAGACCTGCATCTCGTACATGAGGAAACAGAGACCAGAGAGTTTTGCTCTAGAGCTGGTAAGGGGTGGAACCTGCGTCCCGCCCCAGGTATGACTGAATCTACATGCTCCACTGCCTCATGAGCCTTTGCCTTCAGTTAAAAAACAGTGATCGGGAAGACAATCGATATGTCCTTAACTGCCCAGAACATGGCTTCTTCCTCAGTGACTAATGAAACAAAAGCCTTACAAACAGATGCTGACCTCTATCATGAACCTGCCACACTGTGTAGTCACGATCGATGAAAGTGTCTCTTCCCCTATTACATCCTGACCTCATGGAGCAGCAGGTTTGTGTCTTATTCAGCTCTGGGGGCCCAGCTCATTGTCGGTACACAGTAAATGTTGACCAAGTGAACGAGTTAACCAGAGCCAACCTTAAAAACAGGAGGGTTCCTTCTGCGCATGCTACTTGCTAGTTCCTGGGCAAGACACAACCAAAACCTCGCCCAGGGGCAGTGGTGTTACAAGTTGAGTGTTCTGAGTCTCAGGGAAGTTCCTGAGCATCAGTCCCTGACGATACATTCGCTGAGTCCCTCTTCTAACTGCCCACCCTATGTGAGTAAAAGAGAACAAACGAAGGCTAAGTAAGACCTAGCTTCTGTTTTCAAGAAGCTTGTGTTAATTACTTGGGGTGGAACAAAACTAAACTTCAGAGCACAATCCAAAATCAAGCCTTCAGTTATGTAAATTTCCAGGTCATGAGATTTGCTGGGAACCAAATCTCAGAATGTTCTATGCCAGAAGATCAAGATTCATGGTGAAAACACACCATTAGTTGACAGTCACCTGAGAGCTTTGAGCACGAGGGTGAAAGTGGGTGACTGAAGGCCTCCAAATGTAAACTTGTCACTAGAGACTTTTGAAAAAGGTGTGGAGGATTTCTGCTGAGAAGCACTTCAGTGGAGAACAGAAGGGGTAACCTTCCTAACTGCATATGCTGATGGTGACTATAATAAAAGCTAATTAGCATCACATATTCTTAAAAACTTACCAAATGTAAGGGAAACCCGATTTGAGTTTCAGGTACATATGCTTAGCTAATTTAATGACATTCTTTAAAGACAAAAAGTCAGGTAGATAGTTGGGAATCAATCAATAAATCCTAAATAGGATTTCACAATATTTGACAACAAAATTTATAAAAATTTAGCAAATGTGGGAGCCGTATAGACTATTTTTAATTTTTAGCTGCTGTCCTTATGAGTGACCCTCAGGTTTGCAAGACCAGGTTGAAGCCAAGCAACAAAGGTTAACACAGGTATTTGAACGAACTTCCTCTGAAAAAGTGATGGGAAATTGGACATATTGACAAATTGTCAGGTGAATCTTAAAACGTGTGGAAACTCCAAACTCCAGGGACGGACGGTTGAAGCTCTTTAGGACACACTGCAGCAGGGAAGTGACCAATTTTAATGTGGGCAGGAGAGAGAAGGTAGGGCAACTCGGGTCTGAAATCCCAGGGTCACAGTTCAGTGTTCTGCACCTTGTGTTACCGCTTCTACGGTGTGCACTCGTTCGCCTGATTCCTCTCCCCATTATGTGTGGGGGATTCTGAGGAGAGCTTGCTTACACTTTCCAATAATCTGTGTTGGTGGTCATTCACGACCCAGGCAGCTGCTGCCCCGGGAGACCCTGATAGTGACTCCTTGTCATCCTTTACCTGCCTTCCCTGGGTGGCTATTGTCCTCTCTGTGCTCCCTACGGCCAGCGGAGACCGAGGCCCGTCCCTTAGTTCCCCAAAGCACAGCCAAGTCCAGGCTCTAGATTTTTATCCAGACTTGGGGGAAACAAAGGAACATTACAATGTGGACAAGAACATATTTGGATGCTGCCACTATTAATGTTCCTGGAGTCCAGAGGTCATGCCCCTCCCTGGGAGACTTGAATGGGTCTTCTCTTTCTTTGGATGTCCCCAGCCTGCCATCTTTTCTGGTCCATATAGGAGTGCTTTTGGGAATGTCCTCATAACTTGGAGTCAAACTCCACTCTCTCCTCTGCAGCTTGGTTGAAGGAAAAAGAAGAGATTTACGTTAAACACAGGTGACATTATCAACCTCACAGGGATGCAATTCTGCACTAAATGATGTTTTATATTAGTTTGCAAAACTTTTTGAAAATTTATTAAAAATTTAAAAATATTTCTCGTGTTTAGAATCTTAATTTCAGAGTAGAGTGTTGATGTTTCCCTTGGGCAAATATGCTCACTGAAATGTCTTCTCAAAACCAAGAGCAGACTTCCTCCAAGAATGTTTGCAAATGCTGACTCTTTAAAATTAATATTCCCCTGCTTCTGGAAATTAAGCTTTAAAAATTATTGAACTAGGGAAGAAGAGGAAAAAAAGATCCAATACCACTTTTGTTATTTAATAAAATTGTGGAAGTCTTACATAAGGAGGTTATGCCGGAATGAAATATGTGAGGATAACGAAGGTGTTGGAGCAATTTGTGAATGACAAAGACATGGTGACTCTTCTCACAGTCAGAAAATATTTTTTTAAATACTTGAAAAGACAACATCGGAGGTGGAATCATGACTGACCAAGTGTTTGCAACCTCACGCCTGTTTCATTGCTGTAATCTATCTAACTGGGCTCTCCAATGTCCTTCCTAAGATTCCCCAGACGCTGATTCTGTCACCACAGTCAAGTTCGGGAACTTCCACTGCTCCTCCTTTTTCTAGAGTAGAAAATGTAAACTTGGTGTGGCATTAAAGGACTGCAACAATTGGGTCCCCCTGTCCGTTTCCTACCGTTATCTCCTATGACTTTTGAAAACAAGCATTTCTTCCCATCAGCTCGTCTAACAGGAAGAACCTCTGTCCTTGTTACATACCACGGCCACCTCCCACTCTGGGCCTTTGATCATAGTCTTGTTCCCACTGAATGACCTTACTCTTCCCTACCCCTATTTAGTTCAACTCTCACAGCTCCAGCGACGCCCTTGAAACTGCTCCAGCATACCTTTCTCTACTTTTTTGAATGAAACATGGGTTCTCTTTGAGGATACTCATGGAAAGAACCTATAGGGGAGTCTGTCTGAAACAGACCATCAAGTGGTCGTTTCCTATAGGACAGGGGGCCTTTATGCGTCCTTGTCGTAGAGTGAAATTTCCAGTTGGTACTTTGAGAGTGAGCAATGTGTTTACTCATGGAACATGTTCTCAGAATCTCAAATTCTGGAGGTACTCATGCATTCGTGAAGAAATGGAAAGAAAACCTTGTAAGAGACAAAAGGAATAAACTCTGAAACCACAACATTTCTCCTAGTAATGCATTTTCAGTCACCTAATAATCACGAGCTGGGTGTTAGTGCAGACAATTTCACACGAAAAATAGAAATATAAAAGGCATAGTGTCATTGCCAGGGAACAGGAGAAAACGCTCTCCCTCATGCTCTCCACTGACCCCTTATCCACCCAAAGCCATCCTTTATAGTTCCATGGATAAATTGGGTCATTACAAAAATAAAGAAATGCAAATAAATATGCCAAATAAAGCAAAGGCTACCAATTAATTCTTTGCTTTTTCAAAATGAGACTGGACTCCAACTTTGAGGTAACTGATGTGTCATGATTTAAGGAAAGTTCACGGACAGGAATCTCCTCATAGGAAAACTAAAACTGTTGCAACAAAATGGTATCAGTACATCAAATCCCCCAACTATTGAGTCTACATTGAAGTACTTACGTTTAATATAATGATGCACCTAAAAAAGGAACCTGTTACTTTTATTCATGGATTTTTCCAGGACAGATACAATTTTTAATCATCTTTATTGTCATGTTAGCTGTTTTTATATCCAATGAAAATACAGCCATGTGCCACAAAACGACATTTTGGTCAACAACGGACTGCATATACGATGGTGGTCCCGTAAGATGAGTCCCATATAGCCTCGGTTTGTAGTCGGCTGTACCATCTAGGATGTGGGAGTACACTCTGTGATGTGTGCACAACAAGGAAATCGCCTAACAACAGGTGT